AACACACGCTCGGCCGAGACTCGTCCGTGATGCTGCAGATGGTCTCAAGCATGCCGTTCGACTGCGCGCTCCCATGGATCACCTGGTCCACTTCAAACACCGGCGCGTGGCTGCTGCTATCGTACGTTGGCGCAGAGTAGACGACGTCAACGCTGTTGCACGGAAACGACTCGGTGTAAAAGTCGGCGCGGGCGCCCGTGAACGACACTTGCTTGGCGCCATCGGCACAGGCTAGCGACAGGGTCGCCGCCGGGGGCAACGCGATCGACGTGAAATGCACCGAGAGGTAGCTTGCGCCGTCGCGATGAATGGTGTGGTTGAAGGGACCGCTATGGTCCCCGCGAAGGCTCAGCGGGACGGGGTACCCAATCTGGAACGGCTGGGGCGACGCGGCCGCGAGACCGGCGACGAGAGCCGCGACGAGCTTGGTCGCTGCGAGCATGCGTACTACGTCGTCTCGTGCAAAATGCAAAGTGGTGCGGCATCGCGAGCTCCGCAAGCTGTCGTGAGTAACCCACGCTGACCCAGTCACGCGCGAGATCCGTTGCCAAGATGGTCCACAATGACAAAGATATTCGCTTACAAAATACAATTTACGTATTGCATCGGGCTATTGTGACCGAATTGCGTGTTTTTCTAGAATTCGAGTACTTGAATAGGACAATTCGATGCAGCGTATGCACGGAATGATCTGAGAAGATCTGAGTTGGCAGCACCGTCGTAGAAAGGCGCTCCCCTTTTCCTAGTCCGTTTACAGTACCCGTACTCTTAAGCGCTCAGCAGAGCTGCATGCTCCGTGCACCTTTGCTCAGTGGTTAGTACATGAATCATGTACTAACTTGGTGCAGAGCAAAGAGGTAAGAATGCTGCGTGTGATGATTCCACCTCAGACGGCGTCACACAGTCCGCCGTTGCTTTTGGGTGCCGGCACGCGCCGTCCATAAGCCTCCTAGGTACATACACCGTGCTCTGGACATATACCTCCCAGTACATACATACCTAGTTGTTTTGTCTACCGGTACTCCTCTACGAGGGGACTCAACCAAGGGTACCCTTGATGCAACTTCTCCTCTACGGATTCAACCAAGGGCACCCTTGATCGTAACTACCCGGTGCTCGACACACGGTGCAAAATACATCATCGGCTCTGCAGGACGATACACGCTGTACTGACTGTGAACGTGTGGCACACTTCTGCTTCTATTTCATACGCCAGTGTCGCAGTCGTCCATGCAAACGTCTACTCGTCCATAACCGTATCCTGGGTCTGGCTCCCGTGAGGCGGCGACTGCAGCATGTGGCTCTCGTTAGCGAACGACTCCTGAGTGTCGTTCTCGTTGGGGGGCGTCCCAAGCATCGGGCTCGCCATCGATTGGGCGTATTCCTGGGCCTCGACCACCGCCGAGTTGAGGATCGTCATGAAGCGCGCAGCCTACAGCGACGCTGAGCCATCGACAAGAATCATATTGTTCGAGTACCTTGTTTTCGGCCACCGCGAGCTTCTTCTTCAGTTTGTCAAGCTCGGCCCGGTGTTGCTCGACCATTCCGTTGTGCTCTGAAACGAATCGCTCGTAGTCACCGTGCGACACCATGTCTTGGGACGGGCTACGGCAACAAGAGACCGGCGTTTAATCGGAAAGAACTCTGGTGGGGTCTCGTACTCGACGATGGTGCTTTGGGACGTATCCAGCATGACGCGCGCGAGGCCCGTAATGCCGATGAACCGGTGGTTGTCGCGGCCCTTGTTGCCTTCGATGGTCTAGCGCATGCTTGGACGTGAGATCCGAGATCGATGCTGATGGAAGGGATACCCGCTTGGCCACGAGTAGACGATTGTCGAGATCGGCACGCTACGGCAAACGCGTTAGACGCGACGGCTCCTCCATCGTACAAGCCTACTTCGTCCAGCAGACTTTGGTTGCGAAAGCGAAGCGTGCCGACTTCCACCTCGAGCTGCGCATTCTAGACATTGACAGTGCTGCAACGGTCGTTCTCGCAGCGGTAGGTGCACCTGCTTGAGGAGCGAGACGACCATTGCGTCCTGCTTCTGGCGGTACTCTTCCATCTAGGCGCACCAGAATCAGACATCGAAGACATCTACTAGACTAAGAGTACGCTGCGCAGCTGCTCACTGAGGTTCTTGTTGATCGCATTCTACATCGCACGATGAGTCGATGAAAGCTGCGAGATGACGCACGACCATGTCGTCGTGACTGCGCGGTGGCGGCATGGCCGAGACGGGTGGCACGGGCGGAGCGTCGGTCGGGGACCGTGTCTTGGCCCCCATGGCATCGCTCGTGCGGGACCGGGTCGCCGGTCGATGGCTCTCCGCCTCGTCTATCGTAGTAGTGTAAAGAAAACATTTGCTGTGAGAATAAATAAAGAGACCCATGGACCGCTTGCGCTTGGACCCTTGCGAGGGCGTTGGTGCTGG